ATGTATATATATATATGTATATATATATATATATATATATATATATATATATATATATATATATATATATATATATATATATATATATATATATATATATGTATACATATATATATATATATATATTATATATATATATATATATATTTTATATATATATATATATATATATATTTTATATATATATATATATATATATATATATATTATATATATATACATATATGTATATATATAAATATATATATATATATATATATATATATATATATATATATATATATATATATATATATATTATATATATACTATATTATATATATATATATATATATATATATATATATATTATATATATATATATATATATATATATATATATATATATATATATATATATGTCGTGCCGAATACGCAGAACTTGCGATCTTGGCTTAAATAGCAACGTTCATCTTGCCATATAGGACAAGTGAAAATTTGTGTATGCAATAATTTCGCCAAAATCATTCTGAAGCTATCGAAAAAATATATTTCGCTGTGTTTGTTTTATATTAAATTACTGTAAACAATTCTAAAATATATTTAGTTGGGTTAGGCTAAAATAAATTGTTCTTGTTATAATAAGGTTAGGTAAGTTTTCTAAGATTCTTTTGGTGCAAAATTATAATTTTTTTCATTAACATTAATGACAAAAATATATCTTTAAACGTATAAGAGAAAATTTTAGAAAGGAATTGATTTTAAATGAGTTCATGCTAATTGACCAGTTTTGCAAATTCGGCACGACATATATATATATATATATATATATATATATATATATATATATATATATATATATATTATATATATATATTATATTTATATATATATATATATATATATATATATATATATTATATATATATATGTATATATAATTTTTTTATTTTATTATCACACTGGCCGATTCCCACCAAGGCAGGGTGGCCCGAAAAAGAAAAACTTTCAATATCATTCACTCCATCACTGTCTTGCCAGAAGGGTGCTTTACACTACAGTTTTTAAACTGCAACATTAACACCCCTCCTTCAGAGTGCAGGCAATGTACTTCCCATCTCCAGGACTCAAGTCCGGCCTGCCGGTTTCCCTGAATCCCATCATAAATGTTACTTTGCTCACACTCCAACAGCACGTCAAGTATTAAAAACCATTTGTCTCCATTCACTCCTATCAAACACGCTCACGCATGCCTGCTGGAAGTCCAAGCCCCTCGCACACAAAACCTCCTTTACCCCCTCCCTCCAACCTTTCCTAGGCCGACCCCTGCCCCGCCTTCCTTCCACTAATGACTGATACACTCTTGAAGTCATTCTGTTTCGCTCCTTTCTCTCTACATGTCCGAACCACCTCAACAACCCTTCCTCAGCCCTGTGGATAACAGTTTTGGTAATCCCACACCTCCCCCCTAACTTCCAAACTACGAATTCTCTGCATTATATTCACAACACATTGCCTCAGACATGACATCTCCACTGCCTCCAGCCTTCTCCGCGCTGCAACATTCATCACCCATGCTTCACACCCATATAAGAGCGTTGGTAAAAACTATACTTTTCATACATTCCCCTCTTTCCCTCCAAGGACAAAGTTCTTTGTCTCCACAGACTCCTAAGTGCACCACTCACTCTTTTCCCTCATCAATTCTATGATTAAACCTCATCTTTCATAGACCCATCTGCTGACACGTCCACTCCCAAATATCTGAATACGTTCACTCCTCCATACTCTCCCCCTTTCCAATCTGATATTCAATCTTTCATCACCTAATCTTTTTGTTTTTCCTCATAACATTACTCTTTCCTGTATTCACCTTTAATTTTCTTCTTTTGCACCCCCTACCAAATTCATCCACCAATCTCTGAATCTTCTCTTCAGAATCTCCCAAGAGCATAGTGTCATCAGCAAAGAGCAGCTGTGCCAATCCCACTTTGTGTGTGATTCTTTATCTTTTAACTCCACGCCTCTTCCCAAAGACCCTCGCATTTACTTCTCTTACAACCCATCTATAAATTATTATACAACCACGGTGACATCACACATCCTTGTCTAAGGCCTACTTTTACTGGGAAAAAAAATTTTCCCTCTTTCCTACTTTACTCTAACTTGAGCCTCACTACCCTCGAAAAAAACTCTTCACTTTTTCGTAACCTACCTCCTACACCATACACTTGCAACATCTGCCACATTGCCCCCCTACCCCCCTGTCATATGCCTTTTCCAAATCCATAAATGCCACAAAGACCTCTTTAGCCTTATCTAAATACTGTTCACTTATATGTTTCACTGTAAAAAACCTGGTCCACACACCCCCTACCTTTCCTAAAGCCTCCTTGTTCATCTGCTATCCTATTTTCCGTCTTACTTTAATTCTTTCAATTATAACTCTACCATACACTTTACCAGGTATACTCAACAGATTATCCCCCTATAATTTTTGCACTCTCTTTTATCCCCTTTGCCTTTATACAAAGGAACTATGCATTCTCTCTGCCAATCCCTAGGTACCTTACCCCCTTCCATACATTTATTAAATAATTGCACCACCACTCCAAAACTATATCCCACCTGCTTTTAACATTTCTATCTTTATCCCATCAATCCAGCTGCCTTACCCCTTTCATTTTACCTACTGCCTCACGAACTTTCCCCACACTCACAAAATGGCTCTTCCTCACTCCTACAAGATGTTATTCCTCCTTGCCCTATACACGAAATCACAGCTTCCCTATCTTCATCAACATTTAACAATTCCTCAAAATATTCCCTCCATCTTCCCAATACTCTAACTCTCCATTTAATAACCCCCCTCTCCTATTTTTAACTGACAAATCCATTTGTTCTCTAGGCTTTCTTAACTTGTTAATCTCACTCCAAAACTTTTTCTTATTTTCAACAAAATTTGTTGATAACATCTCACCCACTCTCTCATTTGCTCTCTTTTTACATTGCTTCACCACTCTCTTAACCTCTCTCTTTTTCTCCATATATCTTCCCTCCGTGCCTCACTTCTACTTTGTAAAAACTTCTCATATGCTAACTTTTTCTCCCTTACTACTCTCTTTATATCATCATTCCACCAATCGCTCCTCTTCTCTCCTGCACCCCTTTCCTGTAACCACAAACTTCTGCTGAACACTCTAACACTACATTTTTAAACCTACCCCATGCCTCTTCGACCCCATTGCCTATGCTCTCATTAGCCCATCTATCCTCCAATAGCTGTTTATATCTTACCCTAACTGCCTCCTCTTTTAGTTTATAAACCTTCACCTCTCTCTTCCCTGATGCTTCTATTCTCCTTGTATCCCATCTACCTTTTACTCTCAGTGTAGCTACAACTAGAAAGTGATCTGATATATCTGTGGCCCCTCTATAAACATGTACATCCTGAAGTCTACTCAACAGTCTTTTATCTACCAATACATAATCCAACAAACTACTGTCATTTCGCCCTACATCATATCTTGTATACTTATTTATCCTCTTTTTCTTAAAATATATATTACCTATAACTAAACCCCTTTCTATACAAAGTTCAATCAAAGGGCTCCCATTATCATTTACACCTGGCACCCCAAACTTACCTACCACACCCTCTCTAAAAGTTTCTCCTACTTTAGCATTCAGGTCCCCTACCACAATTACTCTCTCACTTGGTTCAAAGGCTCCTATACATTCACTTAACATCTCCCAAAATCTCTCTCTGTCCTCTGCATTCCTCTCTTCTCCAGGTGCATACACGCTTATTATGACCCACTTCTCACATCCAACTTTTACTTTAATCCAATAATTCATGAATTTACACATTCATATTCTCTTTTCTCCTTCCATAACTGATCATTTAACATTACTGCTACCCCTTCCTTTGCTCTACCTCTCTCAGATACTCCAGATTTAATCCCATTTATTTCCCCCCACTGAAACTCTCCTACCCCCTTCAGCTTTGTTTCACTTAGGGCCAGGACATCCAACTTCTTTTCATTCATAACATCAGCAATCATCTGTTTCTTGTCATCCGCACTACATCCACGCACATTTAAGCATCCCAGTTTTATAAAGTTTTTCTTCTTCTCTTTTTTAGTAAATGTCTACAGGAGAAGGGGTTACTAGCCCATTGCTCCTGGCATTTTAGTCGCCTCATACGACACGCATGGCTTACGGAGGAAGATATCTTTCCACTTCCCCATGGACAATAGAAGAAATAAAGAGGAACAAGAGCTATTTAGAAAAAGGAGAAAAACCTAGATGTATGTATATATATATACATGTGCGTGTCTGTGAAGTGTGACCAAAGTGTTAAGTAGGAGTAGCAAGATATCCCTGTTATCTAGCGTGTTTATGAGACAGAAAAAAGAAACCAGCAATCCTACCATCATGCAAAACAGTTACAGGTTTTTGTTTCACAGTCATCTGGCAGGACGGTAGTACTTCCCTGGGTGGTTGCTGTCTACCAACCTACTACCTACATGTATATATAAATATATTTATATATATATATATATATATTATATATATATTATATATATATATATGCATATATATATTATATATATATATATATATATATATATATATATATATATATATATATATATATATATATATATATATATATATATATATATATATATATATCTGATAGGTAAGTTTAAAATTGTTTAATATTATGTAAAATCAATTATGTATGCGCATTTGTCGCTATACTCAGAATGAATTTCTCATATTTATTGCATATAATGTCCCTTCCTAATTTTCAGCATGACAGACTACGATAAACATCTTTAATATTCTCCAAAGTTACTGAAAGTCTCGTATGTGACACATGCAAATACAAACCAGCAGCTCACCCACTGTACACTGTGTGTTCTGACGTTGTAGTGACAGTAATATTGTTTAGTATTTTGATTTTCCTCGTTTGGATATGAAAAAATAATTGCATATTTTTCTTGCCATGCCAGACAAGGGAGTGTTATGGGGTCAGCAGCACCTCCTCCTGGTCCTGCTGCTCTGCAATACAAACCACCTTCCTGGTCACCAGTCAGCCTGGAAGTCTCAGTCTATGCCAACAACCACCACAACGAGGACCTCCGACTCAAGAAACTGGTTGAGGAGACGCAGCTCGACCCTATCATGGAGGACGACTCGAACCATATATAAGAACACAAGAACGAATATATAATATATTTTATCGCCTTGTGATCATGTACTTCCTAATAATGATCTCTGAATTCCAGATAAACATAGTGATTTTCCCGAGTAATTTACCCGAGACTTTTAGTAATGTTTTCGATGACAAATTGAGTCACTGAATTTTATGCATATGTACTGAAGATGCTCAAACATTCTGAGAGTTTATTTCAATAACTTATAAAAACATAATGTAATAACAATATTATTAAAAATCCAGCTCACATGACAGAATCACTGTCATTGTGGTTTCTGAGATACTTAAGTGTAAGTGTACAGTTAGAGACATTGAGTCAGTAAAATAAAAGCAATGATTTTCTGGAAAAATATTCATTCGAAATTCCGTATATGATGATAATATGCACCAGAACTGACTACCTTAAGTCTTGCTTTCTGATATAGAAGATGGTTTTGTGAGAGTTCGTCAGCACTTGCCTCATAACCAGACAATCAATTAGTAAGATAAACAGCGTAAAAAATGACTCACGGAATCGTAATAACACGATTGTGAGCAAACCTCAGTACGGGTGGGGGTTGAACCCATGGGTTAAAACCCCACCTCGTGTCAGTATTATGTAGTTCAAGAATGTTTAGTGCAGACTTAAAGCTCTTGATCTCTGTGTTTTTAGTGGTATACTAAGGAGGAAGACAGAGAACTATAATGAAGATGATGGTAAAGGAAGATGCTGAAAGTGACGATTTAGGAAGATGCTGTGGATGACGGTAGAAGATGCAGAATAAGAAGGTTGAAGAAGATACTGAAATTGACAGTCAAGGGAGAGAGAAAAGTTAAACATAAAAGCTGAGGCAGATAATATGGATGAATGGAAAGGAAGTTGTTGAAAGTGAAGGCAGAGAGACTCACTGAAGATGATTAATTTGAAGATGCGTAAAGATGCAAACCAGGAAGTTAAAGAAGAAGGAAAGAAGATGTTAGAGATTAATGAAAAACATGCCTGAAATATAAGAATAAGACGATGCCGTATATGAAGGCAGAAGAATAAATGGCATAAATGAAAATTAACTTTAAAATGAGAAAATTTAGGGTAAAAGCCTATAAGTATTTGAAGTGAATATTAAAAAGATAAAAGGAAACTGTCTAGAAATGACATCCTCAGAAAATCTAGTGAGATGATCAAACATTTCTAATGGTCAAATGTTAACATTTCCACCGGCCTCTATTGGATATAAACTTTTTATGAATGTTATGTATTTTTTTTTTTGAAATGCATCTTTCCAGCTAATTAATTCTTTCTTCTGTGTTTCTCTAATCCATTACCCTGTTTCTTTTTTAAGCTCTCTCTACCGTTTCAATCTCCCTCGTTCCGAGTTACTAGTCTTGTTTTGATATTATAAAGACACATAGCACAGAAAATTGTTGATTTTTACGCCATTTCGCCTACGCAGGGTTGTATGAAGTGCAACACTTAGGTAAAATGAGATGAGCAAAATGTAAATCTTATTTCTACAACTTGACATCGAAACCATAGCTTTGTCCCACATTACGAGACTTCCAGGTTCAGACCAAAGCTTCCCTGGTGTAACCAGAATTCCAGGCTCTGACCTAACGTTCCCTGGTATTACCAGACTTTCAGGTTCAGACCTAACTTTCCCTGGTATTACCAGACTTCCAGGTTCAGACCAAACCTTCCCTGGTGTTACCAGGCTTCCATGTTCAGACCAAACCTTCCCTGGTGTTACCAGATTTTCTGATCCAGAACTAACATTCCCTGGTATTACCTGACCTGAAAATCCAGACCTAACCTTTCTTGGTAATGCCTGACCTCCAAATCCAGACCTAACCGCCCCTGGTATTACTTGATCTACTGATCAAGACCTCATCTTCCATGGCATTGCATCATCTACTGATCAAGACCTCATCTTCCCTGGTATTACTTGATTTACTGATCAAGACCTCATCTTCCCTGGTATTACTTGATTTACTGATCAAGACCTCATCTTCCATGGCATTGCATCATCTACTGATCAAGACCTCATCTTCCCTGGTATTACTTGATTTACTGATCAAGACCTCATCTTCCATGACATTGCATCATCTACTGATCAAGACCTCATCTTCCCTGGTATTACTTGATTTACTGATCAAGACCTCATCTTCCATGGCATTGCATTATCTACTGATCAAGACCTCATCTTCCCTGGTATTACTTGATTTACTGATCAAGACCTCATCTTCCATGGCATTGCATCATCTACTGATCAAGACCTCATCTTCCCTGGTATTACTTGATTTACTGATCAAGACCTCATCTTCCATGGCATTGCATCATCTACTGATCAAGACCTCATCTTCCCTGGTATTACTTGATTTACTGATCAAGACCTCATCTTCCATGGCATTGCATCATCTACTGATCAAGACCTCATCTTCCCTGGTATTACTTGATCAACTGATCAAGACCTCATTCTTCCCTGGTATTACTTGATCAACTGATCAAGACCTCATCTTCCCTGGTATTACTTGATCAACTGATCAAGACCTCATCTTCCCTGGTATTACTTGATCAACTGATCAAGACCTCATCTTCCCTGGTATTACTTGATCAACTGATCAAGACCTCATCTTCCCTGGTATTACTTGATCAACTGATCAAGACCTCATCTTCCCTGGTATTACTTGATCAACTGATCAAGACCTCATCTTCCATGGCATTGCATCATCTACTGATCAAGACCTCATCTTCCCTGGTATTACTTGATTTACTGATCAAGACCTCATCTTCCATGGCATTGCATCATCTACTGATCAAGACCTCATCTTCCCTGGTATTACTTGATCAACTGATCAAGACCTCATCTTCCCTGGTATTACTTGATCAACTGATCAAGACCTCATCTTCCCTGGTATTACTTGATCAACTGATCAAGACCTCATCTTCCCTGGTATTACTTGATCAACTGATCAAGACCTCATCTTCCCTGGTATTACTTGATCAACTGATCAAGACCTCATCTTCCCTGGTATTACTTGATCAACTGATCAAGACCTCATCTTCCCTGGTATTACTTGATCAACTGATCAAGACCTCATCTTCCCTGGTATTACTTGATCAACTGATCAAGACCTCATCTTCCTGGTATTACTTGATCAACTGATCAAGACCTCATCTTCCCTGGTATTACTTGATCAACTGATCAAGACCTCATCTTCCCTGGTATTACTTGATCAACTGATCAAGACCTCATCTTCCCTGGTATTACTTGATCAACTGATCAAGACCTCATCTTCCCTGGTATTACTTGATCAACTGATCAAGACCTCATCTTCCCTGGTATTACTTGATCAACTGATCAAGACCTCATCTTCCATGGCATTGCCTCATCTACTGATCAAGACCTCATCTTCCCTGGTATTACTTGATCAACTGATCAAGACCTCATCTTCCCTGGTATTACTTGATCAACTGATCAAGACCTCATCTTCCCTGGTATTACTTGATCAACTGATCAAGACCTCATCTTCCCTGGTATTACTTGATCAACTGATCAAGACCTCATCTTCCCTGGTATTACTTGATCAACTGATCAAGACCTCATCTTCCCTGGTATTACTTGATTTACTGATCAAGACCTCATCTTCCATGGCATTGCATCATCTACTGATCAAGACCTCATCTTCCCTGGTATTACTTGATTTACTGATCAAGACCTCATCTTCCATGGCATTGCATCATCTACTGATCAAGACCTCATCTTCCCTGGTATTACTTGATCAACTGATCAAGACCTCATCTTCCCTGGTATTACTTGATCAACTGATCAAGACCTCATCTTCCCTGGTATTACTTGATCAACTGATCAAGACCTCATCTTCCCTGGTATTACTTGATCAACTGATCAAGACCTCATCTTCCCTGGTATTACTTGATCAACTGATCAAGACCTCATCTTCCCTGGTATTACTTGATCAACTGATCAAGACCTCATCTTCCCTGGTATTACTTGATCAACTGATCAAGACCTCATCTTCCCTGGTATTACTTGATCAACTGATCAAGACCTCATCTTCCCTGGTATTACTTGATCAACTGATCAAGACCTCATCTTCCCTGGTATTACTTGATCAACTGATCAAGACCTCATCTTCCCTGGTATTACTTGATCAACTGATCAAGACCTCATCTTCCCTGGTATTACTTGATCAACTGATCAAGACCTCATCTTCCCTGGTATTACTTGATCAACTGATCAAGACCTCATCTTCCCTGGTGTTACTTGATCAACTGATCAAGACCTCATCTTCCCTGGTATTACTTGATCAACTGATCAAGACCTCATCTTCCATGGCATTGCCTCATCTACTGATCAAGACCTCATCTTCCCTGGTATTACTTGATCAACTGATCAAGACCTCATCTTCCCTGGTATTACTTGATCAACTGATCAAGACCTCATCTTCCCTGGTATTACTTGATCAACTGATCAAGACCTCATCTTCCCTGGTATTACTTGATCAACTGATCAAGACCTCATCTTCCCTGGTATTACTTGATCAACTGATCAAGACCTCATCTTCCCTGGTATTACTTGATCAACTGATCAAGACCTCATCTTCCCTGGTATTACTTGATCAACTGATCAAGACCTCATCTTCCCTGGTATTACTTGATCAACTGATCAAGACCTCATCTTCCCTGGTATTACTTGATCAACTGATCAAGACCTCATCTTCCCTGGTATTACTTGATCAACTGATCAAGACCTCATCTTCCCTGGTGTTACTTGATCAACTGATCAAGACCTCATCTTCCCTGGTATTACTTGATCAACTGATCAAGACCTCATCTTCCATGGCATTGCCTCATCTACTGATCAAGACCTCATCTTCCCTGGTATTACTTGATCAACTGATCAAGACCTCATCTTCCCTGGTATTACTTGATCAACTGATCAAGACCTCATCTTCCCTGGTATTACTTGATCAACTGATCAAGACCTCATCTTCCCTGGTATTACTTGATCAACTGATCAAGACCTCATCTTCCTGGTATTACTTGATCAACTGATCAAGACCTCATCTTCCCTGGTATTACTTGATCAACTGATCAAGACCTCATCTTCCCTGGTATTACTTGATCAACTGATCAAGACCTCATCTTCCCTGGTATTACTTGATCAACTGATCAAGACCTCATCTTCCCTGGTATTACTTGATCAACTGATCAAGACCTCATCTTCCCTGGTATTACTTGATCAACTGATCAAGACCTCATCTTCCCTGGTATTACTTGATCAACTGATCAAGACCTCATCTTCCCTGGTGTTACTTGATCAACTGATCAAGACCTCATCTTCCCTGGTATTACTTGATCAACTGATCAAGACCTCATCTTCCCTGGTATTACTTGATCAACTGATCAAGACCTCATCTTCCCTGGTATTACTTCATCTATTAGTTGAAAAGTTGCAAATGTTAAAGAATCCTCTTTCCTACACTTATTTTTCTTACGAGTATTTGTCGGCTTACATCTTCATTCTCTTCACCTACCCTTAATAACTTGTGTTATCTTTCCCTATTTTCCAATCCAAAAATTCTTTCAAACCATTTATTTCTATATATTACCCTCTTTCAACACAGATATGTCATTCTCACTAGCCCTTGCTCGCTCCATACACCCTCTTCCAATCTCACAACCCTATCCGTATCAGACCCCACGTTCAATCTCCATCTCTCAAACATTCTATCAGATTCCATTATATTACTTTATCAAATCACTCTTATCTCCTACACTCTTCCTTCAGATCATCTCTAATTTTGGAATCCTTTCCCTCAATTTTTCTTAGTTTTAAGCTTTCTCAAATCTTCCTCTTTATCTATTCTCTATATAGGACCGACCGACCTTCTAACTACCCACATACCTACCTACCTACCCTCTCTCTTTCTCTCTTTCTTCCACTTTCTCTTTTTCTCTCTCTCTCTTCCTCTCCTTGAATGTGTATATATTTATTATTAATAATTTTTTATCTTCTGTAATTATCTGACATGTTCAACTCACGTATTAAACATGTAAAGATCCCAGCGTAGAACCCCCTAAGTGAACACTCAGTGATGACTCATGTTA